GACCTTAGACATGTCAGCCATCAAATATCTTATTACCAAAAATTTGTCTAAGGGAAGCTTGACTATTCATTTTACACAGTTGATGATACAGTTGATGATGTATGGTTGTTTCAACTAGTGTTGTGCAGAATAAAATAATTTGAATATAAACTAAAACGGACAGAGGTAGCAAGAAGAGACATCATCATGAAAGGATTTTTAATGGTTACAGACTGACAAGGTTGGAGAATAGCTTCTGTTTTCATTAATGGCTTAATGAAAACATTCCCTTACAATTATAAAACATGATTATAGCTCTTAAACACTAGGCTGTGGGTTCTTTATCAAAGCACACACTGCTGTGGCTACAACTGATGCTGCATCACACTGGGATTTCAATGCAACCCAATGACAGATAAACTGTTTACATTAAAAGACTCTATCAAAGTTATTTTGCACCTAGTTTCATCCTAATCCATCTGTTTTTTTCTATAGCTTTGACAAGATGACCTCTCTCCCTGTGTGTGCAGTATTGATGTCATTACTGAAGAGCTGTTCTTCAGCCTTTCTGCTGATAACAAAATAAATGGAAATGTAGAGAAACCTTGGGGAGGTAAACAGCATGTTCAGGATCCAGCTAAAAATGGGAAAAATTACAACAGGAAAGGATACCTATTGTTAGAAGAAAAGTGGTCACTGTTCCACTTTAAAAAGTGTTTCCACGATACGATGAAGCCATACTGTGTCTTAGAATTCCATAAACTTAAAAAAACATATTAACTTGAAGAAAAGCTTTGAAAGCTCAGTATGCATTGTAAGAATTCAAAGCTCAGCCTATGGCTGATCACCTTTTTAGGCTGAGCTACAAAGTGAAACATTTTGTATGTAATTACCTAATAATAACCTAGCAAAAAAAGGAATAATTCTGTTTGTGTAAAATACAAATGATAAAGCAGGGCCAGGGATTATGCGCATGTCTTCTGTTTGTGTGGTTATCAGAGAACTGGCAACAAAGTGGCAATCATTAAGGGAAAGAGGAAAAAAAAAATCAAGTAGATAGGAAAAACATCTTACTGATTTGTTCTGCCAGAAACACTTTATACATAAAATACTGAAAATGGAGTACGTCTGTAACTAGTATCAAAGTTTCTTTGGTTCAAAAACACACAGAATGCTAGCAATGTGCTTTAAATTAAGCATGTATTTCAAAGGTTAACAGGACTATTCCTTAGGCAGAAGAACAAAGAGGAGCTGGTTGAAGAAAATTGGGTACACTACAGCTACTTAAAATACTGCATCCAGGCACAAGTCATTTGGATGCCTTTGAGCTCAAAGCTAATTTGAATTATACAGAGGTGCTTTAAAGAACAAAAGTACTAACCTGTGTTTTATCTAAACTCCTTCAGCTTGAAATGGGCTATTAATTAAAAATCTTCACCACTCTTCCTAATTTTTGATGTATTTTTTAACAGAATAATAAAGCCATCTAAAAGCTCCATCCTTCCTCACAGAAAAGAATTAACATTAGCATCTCTGAAATGCCTTGTCATCTAATAGTTTTACTAACCACATGTCTGTCATCTGCCTTGACTACATCTCTCATAGCCAACCTAAAAATATTGGGCACCAGGACTTCTAAATGCAATACTGATACATATGCCAACATTCCTCTCAGTGACAATACTACAGGAGTTTACAATTCAGGCAATGCTTAAATGTAACAATATCTCTCAAATAATACATTACACAGATGTGTATTATAAATATGTGACATAAAATCTATTGGGTTGGTCAGTGTGCATATTAAAAACCATTCAAGTTGGTCAAATTGTGGATAACTTAAAACTTTAAAGACAGCAATTTTAATAAAACTGTCAATACAATTTTCTGTGTAAAAACATTTGACACTGATTATGCTGCTTATATTGAAAGAGAAAAACAAGGTCTATATCTTTAGATCTTATATTGAACTGTGAGTACAGCATCAATAACTGCTTCTCAGCTGTAAATGAAAATTGATTCTAGATCTAACCTGTCGTTTTCTGTGTGTCTTTAATCCCAAATCACCCGCAATGAGACATAAGAATCAGCATTTTGTCTATGGGACAAAGAACATGTCATACGGCCAGCTCCGAGGTGTCTGTGCTGAAGATGCTGTGGGGTGTGTTTATGTGTAGGTAGCAACTGTGGTCTCTCTAAGTGAGGCCCAAAATGTGACGACAGGAGTTTGCAGCTGGGGTGAGAGACTTGTAACTTGCCTCATGCTCTACTGCAATGATCAATATGGTCCAAAGCTTTACAGATCTAAGTCTGCAATGAACATCTCACTGGACTTCCTGCCTGTCAGAGCCCAATGAAACTCACTTGACAACTTCTGCATCAAGCCCACAGCTGCCAGAAGTCTGAACGGAGAGGGATACACAGGGTTTCCGTGCAATTTGCAGCAGCTTGGCACTAGTAGTTTGGATTTCTAGTCAGCTCTCACTCGTTGAAGCTTCATAAGCCCTCTAGGGTGAAATTAAAGTGTAGAGCCTCCCTTCAAAGAAGGTTTTTCTTGGTGATATATGTTGCTAGGCCATCATCATGTGTGCCTGAACCAAAAAAGACCTAACAGCTACATTAAGGAGGCTTCTCCACATCATTTTTGTACCTCTTAGGAACAATTTCCTGCTATTCAAAATCCTGTTTGAAAAATGAATACCAAAAGCGGGCAGCATGTTTAGTAATAGCGTTGCTAATGATATCTATAGAATAAGTATCTTCCACTAACTTCAACCTGGTAGTTCTCATCCTATCCAGAAAGTAGGCTCAGCTTCTCAACTGGTATGACCCACTGTAGCTATTGTGTGTTGGGTTTCTCCTCAGGGAGAAAAGGAAGGAAAAGTTTAACACCTGAAAGAGCACAAGGTCCATGAACCCCTAAATAAATGAAGAAATAAGTGTGCTCATTCATAGGAGGGAAAGGGTAAGACAGAAGAGCTTCGTTTCTTGCAGACAAGCTTCTAACAGTCTTCCACCATGATAAATGGACTACTGGTACTCTCGGAAGACAGGCTGATAGATCAAACTCTCTCGACACTGTAGACATTCACTAAAAGTTGAGATCAAGGTGCATTTATGGATTAGTGTCACTACTGCCCCTGCTGTGTAGAGACTGAAAGGTTCCTAGCAACTCTTGAAGAACAAATCCTAGGGCTCCCTACTGACCACTGTTCTCAAAGAATTTAAATTTCCCTGAAATACAAGTAGAAATAAAGATAAGACAATTTATTTTTACATACTATGTTTTACTAATAAAAATGAGCAAATGCTAATGCTCATGCTTCACACTGCCTTCAAGCCTACAGTAAAAAAAGTCAGAAATATTACCAGGACAATGATTCCATAGAATCCATTTTCCTTATAGAAATGTTGCATAAACTGTTAGAATGGTTTTGAGCTGAGAGGTTTAATTTTTTTCTCTCCCCATCAGAATGCACATGTATGTACAGCTGAATTACAATGGTCATTTGGCTGAAAAATCTTCATGTTGAAACCAAAAAAGTATTTTTCTAACCTTGGGCTCCACAGCTGAACAATAAACATTGTAAAGTTCATATTTTCTAATTGCCTTGATCAGTCACCCTTGAATGAATATTTTATATACCTTTTGGAGAATATACAGTCAGAAACCACTGCATGCACTTTGCTGATGTTTATGTGCCTGATCAGCCTTTTTTTGCCATTTCTAATACTCCTTAAAGAGTTATGGCAGAAGCTGCTAAAGCTTGAAGGCACAGCCAAGGGAATGGTAATATATCTCCATTTCTGTATTTTGGGCATCTCATTATCACAACGTCATTTTACAGGACTATTTGGCCAAGTTACCAATACATGAGGAAATCTGCTGGTTTCACAGGCCACCATGTTTATACATCACATTGCACAAGAACAGGCTTTTGATCTTTCAGATTCAGAAGAGAGCACAAGTCTAACTTGGTGCTAAAAAATACTGACTGTATGACTAAGGGGTCAACTGACACCAGAAGGTAAATCTTTCCTGGCATGAGCCTAAAGGGCGGATTAGGTGGTTTGAAGGAGAACATTTAGGTGGTTTAAAAATAAATAAGAAAGAAAGATCGACTTATAATTAACATTTCCCAGGATGAGCAGATGATCTTATGCAGAATTATAGCATTATAACTTCCTCTCCATTGAAGATGTTTAAACATTTGAGCCTACTGCATATATAAAGTAACATGAAAGAGGAATTTAACCCAAAATATTTTTTTTTTTTTCTGGTAGGAATGTTGATAATATGAATTTCACCAGTCTTATTTCCAAGCATTATCCATAAATATTTATAAAGTAGGAAGAATAGAGAATGATATGAGCAAGATATCTGAAAATGATTCTTCATTAACATCCCAAATAGCTTGAGAGAGTTTCAGTACTGATTTACAGCTCCACAGAGGATTTTCCCCTCTCACAAATGGGAATCACTGGATTACTGACTACGGACTCCCAGTCCTTTACTCATCTGCTTGGAATAAAACTTACAGACCCAGTCTTCTCAGGTGCAACTGTACAGTGCAAACCAACTCTGCAGTTGTGCTGGTGGTCTGATGTGGTCATTTTATACCCATTTCCAAACAGGTAATCAATTTCAGAAATCGAGTGCAAAACAAGTGGAGGCTGTTCCAGAGACAGCTTGGTACAATGAGGGACAGAAATGCAGAGCACGTTAGCTGTTCCTGGGTGATGCCATGTGTGGGTTTGAATTCCAAGGCTAGGAAGTTATGTTTTGGTTTAATTTAATCTACTTCGCAAAGTTAATTCATCAAAACTGACAAAATGCACTCTTATTTGAGAATAAGTTTCCTTCCACATAGGTTCTATGTGCAAGCAAGATTTAAGTTAATGATTCTGCTGCATCAGAAATGCTTTTGATTAAATACAGTAAACCAACATACAATCACATTCAACTGATGAAACAACTTTGTCAGATTATATGGTCTATGCATTTATACAGATGTATTTACCTGTTCATTGTCATCTTCATCACTGCTGAGTTTCAGATCATCCTCAAGCATTCTGAAAAGAAAAGACAGTAAGCAATACAGAATTACATTTACTGAATTAACTTCATATACAATGGGCTGAGTCTACCCTTCAGCAAACCAGAGGAAAAACTCCCTTTCAATTCCAGAAGAGCAAAATCAGATCTGTTGCAATTAAACTGAATAGTTCATGTATGTATTAGTCCTGTGTGATGCTAGGTGAGAACAAATGACTTTGAGGCTCATCCATCATAAAGTTTGGCAGCTCCTCTTTCATGTCCTCTTCTATTTGTACCTTGTCTCACAGTGATTACCATATACACCTACGTATATTTCTAAATCAGAAGGTGGAAGTGAAATTCAGCTCTGAGACTGTTGAAAAACCTGAGAAAAAGTCCATGTCTCATTCTTGATCTAGGGCATCACTGATCTTCTTGGAGAGTGGTACCAATTCCCATCTTATCAAAATGAGAATGGTGTGGAAAATAGCAAGAAAAGGAGGATCTTGTGTGAGGTCTGATGGGACCTCACAATTGTTGATATCTGAAGGCAGAGCAAACGTCTTCCAAGCTAGGAATCTGCTAATTCATATCCCCATTTTTATTTAAGTACAAGGAAATCTCACATGACTGTTCCCTGCCCTTGGTTAAAGGGGAAGAAAACTCTTACAAGATGTGGCTCTCCCAGTACCACCTTCCTTTCCTTTGGCACAAAACTCCTATTACTACTTTTTTTTCATTCTGAGACTTGGGTATGGCAAAACATATGGGGTAAGAAACCATATTATCTGCTGTTACATTTTGGCAGAAAACACCTCTTTTGAGGTCTGTCTACCCAGAGAGACATGACTAGTAGCCACCAAATACACTCCCATATAGCTTCTCATACATTCACGCTTTTATCTGGTGGTCTTCCTCAGAGCAGATATTCCTTTGGGTACACTCCTACCTCACACCCATCTTTTCACCTTGACAGATTCTCTTATCACAGGATAACGTACGGATGAATTGGCACATCTCACCCAGATCCACTGTGACAGCCACTAAAATCGCTGAGCTTCCTTTCTCCCAGCCCGAGCTCCTTTACCCACGGCAGGAGGCTCGCAAATTGCAATTACTGTTTCCTTTCTGCCTTGATGGAGACTGAAGTCTATGATTTTTTATTGTTAGCCTTTAAATAACTGTAGCAATCAATGGATGTTCTGTTAGGAAGGGTTTTTTTCTGTTTGAAGACTACCAGTAAATCATGGAAGCCTCCTGGTACAAGGAATTTTAAAGAGGGGACAATAATCCAGACGTGGAAATATCAAAAGGTTTGAAGCCCTGCTGATGCTCTTAAAATGAGAAAGTGCAAGGAGGTCTTTAAACTGGTTTGTAAGTCATCCGTCTTCCTGTGACCTCTGTTGTCGGGCAGCTCAGTGGTTACAAAGTATCTGGACACATAACTACTAGTCATTAATGTCTTGATAAATGGCAGGTGCCTCCCTGTAATATGTGAACCCATAAAAGTAAGAACTGCGGCATGGGTAAAGAATCTTCTAAAAGTAAGAATTTGTGGTGGGTTGACCCTGGCTGGACGCCAGGTGTCCATCAAAGCTGCTCTGTCACTCCCCTCCTCAGCTGAACAGGGAATGGGAAATATGACTAAGGGCTCATGGGTTGAGGTAAGGATGGGGAGAGATCCTTCACCAGTTAATGTCACAGGCAAAACAGGCTCGACTTGAGGAACTTACTTTAATCTATTACTGTCGTGATTTAAACCCAGTCAGGTAACTTGTTCACTCACTCCCAGTGAGTGGTGCCGAGCTGACAACAATCGAGGTCCGTGTCCCCACCACCCCTGCACCGGGGCTCTCCCCTTCCCTGCTCCTGGAGGAAGGGGGAGGAGGATCGAGAGAGTGCAACTCCTACGGGTTGAGACAAGAACAGTCCAGCAACCAATGTACAACACAAATCACCACCGCTACTATCAACTACAACAATGATAAGGGAAAATAACAAGGGAAGAGAATACGATACCACCGGCCAAGAAAACGAGTTCCACCCAGAAGCCCGTGTCCTTCTGGGTAACTCCCAGTTACCCCTCACCCCAGGCATGACATGCTGTGGTATGGAATACCTCCCCAGCTAGCCCGGGTCAGGCGCCCCGTCCCTGCTTCCTCACAGCTTCCCCTCCTCCCTGGCAGAGCATGAGCTTCACAAAGTCCTTGGTCAGGGTAAACATCACTTAGCAACAACTGAAAACATCAGCTTCACCGACACTGTTCTCAGGCTGGAAGTCAAAACACAGCACTGCACCAGCTAACACAAAGGAAAAAACATGACTGTTACTGCTGAACCCAGGACAATTACCAATCACATCAGAGTAGGGTAATGAGAAATAAAACCAAATCCTAAAACACCTTCCCCCCACCCCTCCCTTCTACCTGGGCTGAACTTTACTCCTGAATTCTCCACCTCTCCCTCCCAAGTGAAGGAGGGAGATGGGGAATGGACTTGTGGTCAGTTCATCACACATGTTCTCTGCTGCTCCCTCCTCCCCAGGAGAGGACTCCTCATACTCTTCCCCTGCTCCAGCACAGGTCCCCCTCAGGGTCAACCCTCGCATCCCTCCCTGCTTCCAAACCCTTGCCATGCAAACCCAGTGCAGAATTTTCCATGAAATATTAATTTTTAGAGGCCTGGACTCTGGTGATGAACAGGAACTTTCAGTGTTGTTTATCTAGCAGACACATTCATTTGTTTCCCCAGTGTCATTACTTGCTGTGCTATTCTCAGTATATTGCTGTACCTTGATCTATCCACAGTCCCAGACTGTTATCTGCAAGTCTCATTACATACCAGAAGGACAATACCCCCAGGAAACTGAGACCATCTTCATACAGGACTATATCATTCTGCCTCTTAACTCTAATTCAATCCTACACTCCTACTTTTAAACCTACATCTCACTTTAATGTGTAAATTATCCACTGCTTTAAAGCAGTGCTGCCAGATAATGCGTTCTATTATTATTTTTTAATGCAGATCTAAGAGGACATAATATAAAGGATCTTTTCATGAATGAAGCCCAAAGGGTGGTGGGTTTTTTTCTTCCTTTCCAGCTACTGGGCTTTTTTTTTTTTCTCATTTGTTACATGTTAAATTCCTTTTTGACATATCCTGGTAGAAATAAACGAAACAGGACAAAGAAAATCCCATATTGGATAAATGGAAAGAACAAAGAAGAAAACATAAAAAAGATAAATGGATACACTTACTAAACTAACCAAACAGCCATCTGAAATGGCTGATTAATAACTATCCTCATACAGGCTATACTGCAGACACTTTCTAACAAGTACAGTAAGCACAAGACATATTTATTGAATATTGAAAAATATAAAATGGATATAAAACATGATTAGTAGGAAGGACAACTGTTAGAGTTGGTTTCAGATAAACTAAATTTGCAGGATTTATGAGTTCCTTCAAGAGACTAATGGATGTTCAGATGACTAGAGAGAGGAAAAAAATTGGATTTTCGTATTTCTTTAGCAGTTCCAAGCTTATCACTTGGAGTATATAACTCTTCTTAGCCTGTTCTGCTAAATGAAGAATATGTCACCCCATTCAGTTACAGAACTCAAAGGTTAAACAACTAAACCACATAGCTTCTAAAATGCATCACACTCTCCTGGCAGATGGAATAATTGAAGAGAAACTAGTATGGTATCAACAATAAATATATGGTAGCCAGTGAAGTGAGGGAATAAATTAAAAATCCATTGTATTTGCAAATGAAAGTAGAATGTTGAAGGGTTCAAATAACCTGCTCCTAGAGGATATTGCTTAGAAGAGGTAATATTTTACAGACAGCAGAAGACTAGATGGTCTTCCACAATTTTAAAATGTGCTTAATATTCTGAAGACATGGGGCACAGTAGCTTGTACTGTTTAATGTTTCTATTAACTCTCATTTATAAGCAAGTGGCATCTGATCACGCTCAAAGCCCAATATGGGCTTTTAAGATTGCCAGCAACCTTAATCCAAGGTGACTATTTCACTGTCATACCTAGAGAGGTAACCCATTTCAGCTTCACAGCCCTGAGACACAGGAACTCTGTATCTACAGCTATTCCAAACACTGTCTGGAGGGTCTGATCGTGAAATTAGGCCCTCTTGAGTGAGAGATCCCTGTAAATATGCATTTGATTTGTTCTGCTCTCTGTAACTGTTAACCTCAGAAACACCCAGACTGCAGAACACAGAGTATATTTGTTATGACGATCAGGCCAGCTATTAATAATGTTAAACTTTCAATGAATACTGTCAATGAGGGCAAACCAAAGAGAAAACTGCCTGCATCAGAAAGCTATCTCCAGAGGTGCTATGAATTCATTTTATTTCCTATTCTTCTCTGACTCAGCTGACATTATTATTGAATATACATGTACTTGTTTGTCTTTTCATCCATGGCTAATGCAAAACACCACTTTAGGGAAAGAATGGGATTAAGCAGGATTTTTTATTTCATTATTAGAGCAATGCCATTTACCCTAACAGTTGAAGTTGTGTCAGCACATTTATTACAATCTACAATTTTCAGAGGTTTATAATTTGGAATGTGAAATTATTGCAAAGCAGAAATGTCAAGACAAAGCAACACATTTATCTGTGGTGTAAGTAGGGGCAATCTTGTTGCCTGACTACAATACCCACTTCCTTCAGGGATGAATAGGCTCCCAAAGCAGATTGTTCCTACGTTACAAATTTAACTAGACAAACAGCTGAATGGGGGCTTTATTAGGACGAGTTCTGTAAAAGTCTCACTAGAAATAATAACAGCAAAATATTATTTTTAGGAGCCTTTAACTTGTACCAGGCCTCAGAAGACAATGAGATGGACCAAAATGAGCTATTTTTGTAACAATTTATTATGATTTTGGCATAGCAAGCCAAATTTTTATATTCTCTATTTGACTCTTCACATATTTTCAAAGAGGAAAAAAAACATTAAAAAATGATGCCATGATAATAAACCAGTTTAAACAT